AGAGCTCTGGTTCTGAAGCCTACAGACATGTCTTCTAATCCAGCTCAACCTTTCACTGGCTGTGTGACCCTAAGCCAGTCACTTTACCTCTCTGGTCCTTCCTTTTCCCATCTGCCCATGGGGAACATAGTGCCTGCCATGGCTTCCATCTAGTTTATGTGCTTATAGACGTGAAAGTACAGAAGAAAGGTAAATGCATTATGCAAACTGCTGCAAAAAATAGCATGCTGAGTGCTTATCCAACTGAAAGTAGACTTCTGGAATCAGAGTAAAAATCTCAGATCCCTTTGCAAAACCTCTTCATTTTTTCTCTACTTTGGAGACCAAGGAAGACAAAACAAAACTCTGAAAAGAAGTATGTCGACATGCACACACAAGAACACACACATACCCTAGAGGTGCTCAAAGATATGGGGGAAAGCCAGGTCTCCCGAGTCAATCCAACTTGCCCTTTACCATCTCTGTGACCTTGGACGAAACCCTTTCAGTCTCTGATCTTCAGCAGTCTCAGTACTGACCTCTCCTGTGAGACGTAAATGAAATAACAACGCATGGTGAGGACTTAGAAAGTTTCCTAAATGTAATTTATCTATTGTTATTATGATGATTTCATGCACTGACAGGTTTTAAATGTAAGAAAAAGAATAAGTGTACGTTGGATAGACAGTATATTGAAAGTACACTGAGACAGGAACATTAGAAGGAAGTTGCAGTTTAATTTTAACTGCAAAAGCAACATTTACTCCTTTTTTAAATGTCAAGAAAAATAGATATAAGCAAAAGGAACAATGTTTTGACATATATCCTTCTACTTTTTCTTCATGATTTTTATTTTTATGGGGGTTTTATTTTTATTTTGTTTTTATATAAAGTACATTACAATGAACAATGAATATAGTAATCTGGGACCTTCCCACCACCACACATTTGAATATCAGGAACAATTTCCAGTTCAATCCTCCACATTTTTCTAATTAACAACAACAAATGTACTAATGAATTATTGATCCAGTTCTTGTAGTTATAGACCATCTAGTCCTTTCCTATTTTTCACTCTTTAGTAAAATTGCCCTGTTATTTAAATCTTTGTAACATCAGTGAATAAATATTTCCATATAGATAAATTCCTGGAATTTACTTTTATAACTATGACTGTTCCACTTTCCCCCTAGATTAAAAAAAGAAAGAAAAAAGGATGCCTTTATTTTAATACATAATGACTGTTTCTGCCACAGTTGAAATTTCTGACAAACCGCATTGAAACGTGCATAGAGGAATAAGAAAGCAAACACCAGGCTCTAAAGATATTTTCAAATGAGGGAGGGAACCTTGATATTTTCAAAGAAGAACAGGCTTCCTCCTTAAGGCACTGAGAACCTAGAAGCGGTGCGAAGAGCACTGGATGGGGAGTCTGGAGAGCCCCTGCCACAAACTCGATGTGAAATCTTTGGAAACTCTTTTCCTCTCAGGGACACGTCACTGCTTTTTCAGTTGTGGACTGAGGGGTAGGAATGGAGCTGTGTTTTTCACAGCAGCTGACTTGGATGATAAGAGGATATCCTGGTGACCCGCTAAATGGGCATCCCGGCCCCTAGCCTTGGTCCCATTTTGGGTCTGAGACCGGGGACCCAAAAGTGACGGACTGATTTTGGGTCTCTGCCCTTTTCTTTCCAACGAGGGCTTGGGCCCCAGCCGGATGGGGTTTTCTGAAGAGGCCCGGTTATGGCAGATTTTGCTGTGGCTGGGAAATGCGCCCCCCACCCCCCTCACCTTTCACTGGTCAGGGCTTTAAGAAAGCAGGACCTGGGTGCGCATTCTTCCCGTGCCTAGGATACTTCTCGGTGCTAAAAATAGCCATAGGATCTGCGCCTTGTGGTAATCTAAGGCTATGAACAAAGCTGGAGTCTTGGGTTCGAGTCCAGATATAACCCCTTATGTGATTTGGACCTCTATGGAAAGGCTTATTTCCTTTGAGTCTCAGCTTCCTCATGCGGACCGGAATTCTTAAAGGACTTCCCAGGACTTGGAAAGAAGGGGAGAAATAAAACAAACTGGATTTTTCTTTTCTGCTCCGCCCTGAGGCCTGGAGGCCTGGGGCCGGGAACCAGGCCGGGGGAGGTGTGTGCCCCAATCGCTCATTACCGCGAGGTGTTGCCCTAGTTAAATCGAGGGTCTGTTTGATCTGGCCGCGGGTGGCAAAAGGGAAAAAAGAAAAAAGTAGGGGGGCGGGAGTAGAACGAAGCTCACACTTCCCCCGCCGTTTCCCCAGGCCCATAAAACACCTTTTATTAACTCTTTCGCGTCTGGAAAGGTCCTCGTGGCGCTCAGCTCCTGCTACGGTGTTTACAGCCGAGACTAATGGGGCCCCATATTCACCCAGAGGCCGAAACTAGGCGCCTGGAGCTCGCCTGGAGCCCCGCAAAGCTTTGCCCTGAAGCTACCCTTAGTGTCATTACTCTGTCCAGGCTAAGGGCTCAAGCTCCTGTGACCAAGCCAGAAAAGGACCTAGAGACTTCAATCTTTCGTCTTAGAGACCGCGAGAGACCAATACATGCCCAGCAGAATGTGCATGCCCTCAGGTAATCTTTGGAGCTGCTCAGATACATAAACGCGCTTAGCATAATGCCTAGTGCACAGTTATGCACAAAAGTACTTGTCTGTATACTATTATCCAGGGACACATAGACGTCGGCGTTTGTCCACTTCACTTTAGCCCAATAAGCACCGCACACCTCTGCAAATGCGTCCACATCTATACATATTTACCCGAGTATGCGCAGTCTCAGAGAGACTGGTACTCCTGCTCAAGTGCCCAAATTAGCCCAAGCGCGCACCAACCCACCCACCTTTGCATAAAATCCATAGGCGCTCACAAATATTTGTTGAGCCCCCTTGCTGGAGAGAAGCCTAAAAACCTCAGTTTAACCCTATATACTCATAAACTAAAGGAGCTCTGGTAGCGTAGTGGTTACGAATCGGGCTGCGAATCTTCAGGTCAGCAGGTCAGCAGTTCGAAACTACCAGCTGTTCCGCAGAAGAAAGATGAGCTTTTCGGCTCCCCTAAAGATTTACAGCCTGGGAAACCCTGTCCAGGGTCACTATGAGTCGGAACCGACTCCATGGCACACAGCCACCACCACTCATAAACTGGGAGTCCTGGTGTGGCGCTGTGGGCTAATGCCTCAGACTGCAAAGTCGTTTGAACTGCGAGGTCAGTGAAGCTTACCAGTTGCTCCTTGGAAACCCTATACAGGGCTTCTATGGGTCAGAATCCACTCGACGGCACTTAACAGCAACTCCTAAGCTTATTTTACTCACGTCTAAAATAATGGCTGCTATGAGGGACCAGTCGCTGGAGAAGGATATCATGTTTGGTAGGGTAGAGGGTCAGAGAAAAAGATGATGACCCCCCAACGAGATGGATTGGCCATGTGGCACCATCGAATAGTGAGGTTGGCCCAGGATCAGGCAGTGTTTCCTTCTGCTATGCATAGGGTGCTTGCTATGAGTCCATACCGATGGCACCTAACAACAACAACATGATATTCTAATTACCACCACCACCAAGCCTTAGGGCTCTGTTTGAGCTCCAGTACCATTACATATGTGGCACTGTGGGCTAATGGTTCAGAACTGCAAGGTCTGTGGTTCAAGCTCACCAGCTGCTCCTTGGAAACCCTATACAGGGTTGCTATGGGTTTGGAATCGACTGGATGCACTTAACAACAACTTCCGTAGCACAAGTTTAAATTTCATATGCATGAACCTATTCCCAAATTAATCCTTTTCTTCCCCAGCTGCTATACTGTCCCTAGGATGCCATTCATTTATGTGATAGGTCCCTTTTCCTTTCTAATAACCCACTAAACCATAATCAGCAGACACCAGTACGAATACCAGCTTTCCAGAAAACGCAAATACCAACCCACTTAAATCCTAGGTAGGTCCTCCTTGTATCTAATTCGTTTCCAGTTTTCATTTCTCCAGTTTTGACAGTTTTTCTGCTTCATAAGAGTCATTTTGCTCTTCGTCCTAGTAATGCATCCTTTATCCATTTTTCTTCCCTTTACTCGGTTTGCAGTTTGATTTTGTGCTTTATAAAAAGAGGAGAAGCAGGAATATGAGGTTCTCATCCCAATAGAGAGCATGGGTCCTATTCTGAGATATCACACAGGCTTCCTCAGATTTCAGAAAATGTTTTATTAGTCAAGAGCGTAGATACTGCTTTGGTAAAGGGAGGGGCAGTGAGTGGTCATACAGATTTGAGGTAGAAAAAGGGTAGGAATGGGGCGATTAACAAACACCCTAGTACAGCAGGCACGGTAGGTAGTTTAAATACATAAAAACTTTCCAACAAGGGGGGAAAATTTTTATTTATAAAAAAAGAAAAAAGAAAGCGTTTCTCTTTGAACTAAGTAGGAAGTGCAGCGACAAAAATAAAATAAGAACACCATTGTCTGCGGGAGAACAACAACAAAAATGGCACCGCGCCCCCCCTTCTTTCTCTTGCTTTTGGTTCGTTTCCGAGGCAGAAAGCTATTGATTCCTCTTATTGCCTTTTAATTAGGGAAGAGGGTGCCCCGAAAATTTTTGAGACAAAGTGGAAATGGGGACAAGAAAGAAAGGGAGCCAGACAGCCAAGCGAGAATGGCTGGGGATTCTAAATTCACCCCAGAAATGTAGGAGGAGTGGGTGCTTCATCTCGCGTTTGGGTCCTGCTGTCCCTCCCTCCGGTATGGGTATGGTGCCAACAAGGGTCGCCCTCTCTGTTAGGGAAGTGGATATATATATATTTATCTTTCTCTTTATGCATTAAAATCAATTTCAAACGACATTGCACGTGCTATCCAAGTATGTGGTTGCAGCCGATGGCAGCAGAGGCTCAGCGGGATGCATCCCCCACAAGCCGCTGGGACTCGGAGTCACTAGCCGCTACCTTCCTTTCCTCCCGGGCTCCGGGGTCAACCAGCAGTGGCCGGGTCCTCAGCACGGGCCTACCCTCACTGGTTTAACTCCAGCGCCCAGACTTGCTGAGGCCAGCCGGTTCGCCCTTTAATCCTCTTCTCGACTGGGCCCAAGGCAGTAGGAAAGCTTTCGTGCTGTTGCTGCTGTTGCTGCTGCTGCTGCTGCCAGGGAACACACACAAGAAAAGAGAGAGAAAGAGAGAGGTTTAACTATTTCTGCTTCGATTGAGCAAGCATAAAGTGGGGTCAGGCTAGGGAAGGTGCTGGGAGCACCTTCAAATAAGTGACTGAATTTCCCTTTGCAAATATGTAAACAGACTAATAAATTTGTCCTTCTGCACCAGTTACGCGACCAGAATGAGCACCACAGACGGCGGAAGTTTGGTACCAGAACTCTCTGAGCCTGGTAAACTGACACTGGAAGGTTTGGCTTTATGGCACTGTAGTGAGGGGGGCGCCTATAGTGGGCATGGGGTGGGTGGAATTACTAACCTTTCTTCCCCACCACCCCCACCAGCGGATCAGCTCCCACACACATCCCATTTCCACACTGGTTAAGAGTCTGGGCCTTGGAGACTTGCTTGGGTTCCCCTTCCAGCCGCGCTGGACACTACACATGGGTAGGAGAAAGATGGAGGGTGCTAGTCTGGTCTAACATTCCCCTCTTGCTCGCTTTCCTAGCAGGAATGAAGCCATTGCTCTTGGAAAGAGGCAGCAACGCGAGGGAGGTCGGGATCGCCCAAACACTTCTACCAAAGCGACGCCTGGGCCTGCACCTCTCTGAGCCAAGGGCAGCGGTTTAAAGACTGGATGCCTATTTGCCTTTGCCATTTTCTCTGGATGAACTTCCCCTAGTTTACTACCATCCCGATGGGTTAGATAAAACCGACAGGTTTTCTAGCCCGCTCCACCGCGCAGCAGGCCTCACCAAAGGGTAAATCCCTTCCCGTTGAAGTCTGTAGCCCCGGGCCAACCAAACCGAGCGCCGAGAGTATTGCCTTCACTAGATAGAGCCGAGGAAGACAAGTATGGCTGAAGATCAGCAAAGCTAAAAGAAGAAGGCGAATCTTGTGACTCTTGCCGGTTGACGTTTACAATCAAAGCCACCGACGTTGCCCGTGGAATCAACCCACCTTGGATGCAGTAAGTGAAACGTTTTTTTGGACGGGAAGGAAAAGACCTGATTTGTTTTACTCCAGCTCCATCTCAACTCCTCGGGTAAGCAACCTTATTCAAGACTCAAACACTCTGGGCCTCAGTTTCCCTAGATGTACAATGATGGAGGTGGAATAGCCTCCTTAGCAGAGCCCCTCTGCAAATAGTAACTGAGTCTATATACACAAATTAAATTAATTAATTAACTCCTAAAGGTGTTCTTAACCTGGCTTCCAGCAGATCGCAGCAAAGGGTTGGACTCCTCCCCAAAGGACTGCAAGTGAAATACGTACATTTTTCTCGGAATCCAAAGCTTCCAAAGATTCTAAAGAGAGCCCTAAGATCCCCTCCAAAAAAGATTAATATTCCAACTGACTCAATCTTATAAACACTATTACACATTACAAATAAATTTAATTCCCCACAGCCTCTCAAAATCGTACACAAAACACAGTCTCTTTCTATTGCTTTCACCGCCCGCCGGTGCTTTTGGGCCCGTGCCCTTGGCTGGTGCGTACAGGGCCCCGAACTCACCAGCTCCCTTTTCCTCTTGCTCTCGCGGCCTCCGTCAGCCTTCTTGAGTTCAGCCTTGAAGGCCTCGGGGTCACCAGCCTGTGCGTCCTTGGCTAGCACGTCCATCAGGTAGGCGATGTAGCTGGTGGCCAAGCGGAGAGTCTTAATCTTGGAGAGTTTGGTGTCCGCCGGCACATTGGGGATGCACTCGCGCAGCTCCGCGAACGCGCTGTTGATGCTCTCGGTACGTCTTCGCTCCTTCTTGGGTCCCGAACCTTTCCGTCTACCCAGGCGGCCGCCGAACGCTTCAAGTCGCCCGGGGCTCTGACCAGGTCTGGCGTCTGGGCCGTAGGCGGAGGCGGCTGCTGCGGCGGTGGGAGGTGGCGCCCCAGCGGGGAAGTCTGGGGCCGCGTCTGCTGGGGTCAGCAGCCAGCTCTGAAAATAGGGCCTTTCCTGGTGACAGCGCGAGGCCGGGCCGAAGAGGAAGGGCTCGTGGAGCATGGAGTGCGTGGGGTGCGGGTGGTGATGGTGATGATGGTGGTGATGATGTGCGTAACTACCCACGAGGTTCATATTGGAGCGGCTCCTGGCCTGTGCCGCCAGCCCGATTAGCGCCGCCCCATGCGCCCCAGCGACTGCTGGGGCCACCGGTAGGCTCCGGGACTGCGCTTTCGTGGACGCCGCCTTTGGGGGAGCCCCTGGACTCGCAGCTGCCGTCTTCTTGCCTGCTTCTATCCTGGGTGTGGACGCCAATGCCCAGATTAACCCTTCTACAGCCTCGCTTCCCAGGTCTGGTTTATATAAGGCCGTGGCTTTGATGTCAACCTCTCCCTGGAGCCAATGGCAGGGAAAGGAGAAGAGAAAGGGGGGTGGCCGTCCCTGGTTTTACGCTGGGCTTTCGCCACTCGACTCTAGGCCGCCAGCGGGGACAGAGAGGTGGCTCCGCCTCCGTCCTTCAACTCCCGGTTCCTGGCTTTGACGGAGGTGGGGACTAAAGTACTTGAGGCTCATACCTGCCTACGTCCGGGGACTGTTTCTACCATCCCCTCCCCGCAGACCCAAGAAAAAGAATGTAGAATTCTTCAGAACAAAGATTTTCACCTAAAGCCCACCTTCGATATTACATATAGGGATATTAAGGTTCAAAGAAAGGAAAATTATTGCTTCTAGACGCAGTAGAATTCAAAGCTGTTCTTAGTCCCGAGTCCTACTTCTCCACACCTCATATGAGCTGGGAGAGCGCTGCTGAAGACAGAACAAGCCCTTTAAACCCCACTCACAGGCCCCTAGCAGAGGGACGTGAGCTTCTTCCGCGCTAGGTCCGCCAACTATGGCCAATTCCTATATGCTGTGGGACAAGCGGCTACTGAACCTCAGAGACGTCTAGAAGAGGAGAGAGGAGGAAGGCGAGTTCTAAGCCCACGGGTATTTACCAGTTTATTCCAGTGTGGCGGCCACATATCTACTCTTTCTGGCCTCCAGGGCACCTAATCAGTCCTAAGCCAGACGGAGCTGACACGGAGGCAGTCCCTGCGACTGACTCAGCCTGGAGGGACCTAGCGGGTTGGACTTTCCTCCTCTCTTCGTGGGACCAAGGGCCGGGAGCAGGATATTGAACCTCATACAGGTTATCACCGCTTGAAAATGCCTGATTCTCTAGAGACACTTGGGTCGAAGATCACACCAGGAAAACTCGGCCTTTGGACACAAACTCAAATTATAGCAGACTTCAGGAACCACACTGTCCACGAAGCTGACGCGGCCTGAGCACTTGATACTCCCGCGTTCATCTCACCCCCACCGGTCTATTGGCGCATCTCTTCCGGGACTGTCGGATTCGCTTCACAGGCGGCTTTCCCAGAGCTCGCGGTGCTAACGAGGGATCTCAGGGTGGTGAGGTTCCCTTTGCTGTAGTTTCCAATTAATGCCCACCTACCTGGATCCCTCCATCTTTACTAATCTTTCCCAGTTCCTCTCCAGGCCCAATTCCCTAGGTAGGGTAGAGGCGTGGGCCTAGCTTCCCAAAGCAACGTCGAGGTGAAAGTGAAATCTCTGTGAGTGCTTTTAAAAGAGCAAATAGGAGTGGGGGAATCGTTGCACAACTTGAAGAATGTAATCTATGTCACTGAATTGTACGTGCAGAAATTGTTGAATTCCATGTTCTTTTTCTGCACGGTACATTTTTAACAACAAAAATATAATTTTAAATAGAAAATTCATTCTTTTACCTACTCATTTCATAATTATTTACTGACCACCATTAGTCATTATTATGAAACCAGATACAGAAAAGCCAGTTCTCATTGTACAGATGTAGAAAATGAGGTCCAGAGACATTGAACGATTTCCTTGGAGCTCCTGAAGCAAATGGATTCGTGGTGTCATACTCCTGTACAAGGTTGTTGTTAAGTGCCGTGGAGTCTGTTAGACTCATAGCAACTTTGTATAGGGTTTCAGAAGAGCAACTGGTGGGTTTGAACTGCAGTCCCCTATGGCGCCACACCAGGACTCTGTACAAGGTTGTTGTTAAATGCCGCAGAGTCGCAGATTCGGTTGAGACTCATAGCGACCTCGTTACAGGGTTTGCTAGGAATGGCTCAGAACCACTGACCTTGCGGTTCAAACCAACCTTGCAGTTCAGGGCATTAACCCGCAGTGCCACACAAGGACTCCAGTGAACCAAAAAGCAAAACAAGCCTATTGGTCCGTGAAGTGGATTCTGACTCATAGTAACCCTTTAGGACAAAGAACTGCCTCATAGGGTTTCCAAGGCTGTAATGTTTACAGAACCAGAATGCCTACATCCTTTCACTGGCTGGTTCAAGCCACCTGGTGGGTTCATACTGCCTCCCAACTTGCAGTTAGCCAAATACTTAACCTTTAAACTACTAGGGCTTCCCGAAAAGCGAATAAATTGAAAGAAGAAAAAAACCTATAGGGCAGAAAATGGACAAAAGCTTATGATCCTCCAGTTTAGCCCTGAGCTGTCCAGTTCTACCTGTGGAAGATCGCTGGGTTGTGGGGGTGCGTGGAAGGGTAGGGGGAGGGAGGATTCTGGTTTTCTGCCTGAGGCGGGCAGGAAACCCGCCGCTCTCTCTGGCGCCTGGCGCCAGCAGCACTGGGGTTGGGCCGCGCGCGGAGCCTGAGGCTCCTGGGGAGGGAGCGCCCGGCGCCCAGTTCGGCGGCAGCTCCGCGGGGTCCTGCGCCTCCTGGGGCTGAAGGCTGGCTTTCCAGGGTAAACGAAGGGAAAGGGTAATTATCAGCACACCCAGGCTTTGTCCTGATCGGGAATGGATCTTTCCCCCAAGGCTCTAGAAGTGGCATATCGGCCCCACCATTGGATTGATATGCACACGGGCTCACACAGCCATAAGGACACACACAGGAACAAGCTTACAAAAGTTCATATGCTCAAACAGACGCCAAAAAGTACGTGTACTCTCACAATAGCACACAATTAAACCTATGAGGCACAGCATTTCATAGATTCATGCACTCCTAAGATTTTACACATTACGTCTATCACCCACCAGGCAAACCTACAAGCCACTCACAGTCATACATTCAGGTTTGCAAAAAAGACACTATCATACCGTCCAAAACCCCACTGTCATGGAGTGGAATTCTGACTCATGATACAAGAAACCAAAAATCAAAAACCACTGGCATAGAGTATAACCTGATTTATAAGCTTTCGGACACTAAATCTTTACAGGAATAGACAGCATCATCTATCTCCCATGGAGTCACTGGTGGGTTTGAACCGTGTACCTTTTGGTCAGCAGAACCACCAGAGCTCTATCATACAATGTTGTTGGTAAGTACCACTGAGTCAATTCCGATTCATAGCAAACTTGTATAAGGTATCCTAGGAGGGGCTGGTGGGTTGGAACCTCAGAACTTGTGGTTAGCAATCCAGTGCTTGCTTATCTTACATTGCCACACCAGTACTCCTCATCATACAATGTTGTTGTTGTTGTTAAGTGCTGTCCAGTCGGTTCCAACTCACAGGAGCAGCTGATGAATTTGGATCACCCACTTTTTGTTCAAACCGACCTTTCAGTCAAGTGCTTATCCTCCAGCACCACACCAGGACTCCTCATCATAAAATTGTTGTTGTTAAGCGTCAGTTGAGTCATGTAAAATCCTGTGATTGTGTGGTATTTAGAATTTACTTGCCTCATCATACAATGTTGTTGTTGTTAAGTGCCGCCAAGTCGATTCCGACCCATAGCGACCCTAGAGGCAAGTAAATTCTAAATACCACAAAGTCACAAGATTTTACACATACTCTTTAGAATTCTACACAGCTATGTGTTGTTGTTGTTAGGTGCCATTGAGTCAGTTGCAACTCATAGTGATCCTATACATAACAGAACAAAACACTGCCCCATCCTGTGCCATCCTCACTATTAATGTTCCCTTCTTTGAGTCCATTTTTTGCCACTGTGTTACTATATCTCATTTGGTACAAAATTATACACAGGTACAACAAGTCTATGTTTGTTTATAATTCCCGGACAATGGTATTTACTTGCTGAAACTCCATCACAGGTTTTGGATATTCTCAGTGTCACAATAAAGCCATGATTACGCCTATATAAGAGGAGTGCTGGTTGCATAGTGGATTACCAGCTGGACTGCTAACTAGAGTCAGTAGTTTGAATTTACCAATTGCTCCATGGTAGACAGATGAGCCTTTCTGCTAAGGAGTCCTGGTGTGGCACTGTGAGTTTATATGTCAGACTGCAAAGCCATTTGAACTGCAAGGTCGACAGTTCAAGCTTACCAGCTGCTCTTCGGAAACCCTACACAGGGTCACCATGGGTCGGAATTGACTCGAGGGCACTTCACAACAACAAAGATTTACAGCTTCAGAAACCCTACACAGGGTTGTTAGGAGTCTGAACTGACTCCGCACATAACCACTACCACTCCTGTATACCCACTGGTGCTCACAAACAGACGTTCTCACATACTCCCAGGTTATGTACATAGACACTCAGATTTCAAACATTCAAACAATTTGACATGTGTTCTTAACCGTATTTATATAAAGTCACATTTGTGGCCCTGAAAATAAAGTTGTTATGCAAACAGAGCCCTGGCACACGGGTTAAAATACCCTGGTGCTGACTAAAAGGTGAGGCCTGGAGAGCTACTCCCATAAAGATTGTTGTTGTTAAGTGCCATCGAGTCGGTTCCGACCCATAGCGACCCTGTACAGGGTTTCCGAGACTGTAAATCTTTACAGGAGCAGAACGCCTCATCTTTCTCCCGCAGAGCAGCTGGTAGTTTCAAACTGCTGGCCTTAAGGTTCGCAGCCCGATTTGTAACCACTATGCTATCAGAGCTCCTTGTTGTTGTTAAATGCTGTCAAGTCAGTTCCAACTCATAGTGACCCTGTATAGGGTTATTGAGCAGCAGCTGGTGGGTTTGAACTGCTAACCTTGCTGTTCAAACCTAGGCAGAAAGATTTAGGCATAAAGATTACAGTCTAGGAAACCCTATGGAATAATTCTACTGTTCTATAGGGTAGCTGTAAGTGGTAATCAACTCGATGACACACAATA